TTGGATGTAGATCTTGTATCCTGCCACGATGCTGAATCTCTCAATTAGTTCCAATATATTTTTGACTGAGTGTCTGGGTTCTCTAGGTATAAGATCATATCATCAGCAGATAGGGATAGTTTAACTTACTTCCTTACCAATTTGGATGCCTTTGATTTCCCTTTCTTGCCTTACATCCCTGGCTAGGACTTCCAGTACAGTGTTGAATAGAAGTGGTGATAGATGGTGTCCTTGTCTAGTTTGCAAGAGGAATGGTTTCAGTCTCTCTCCATTGAGAATAATGTTGGCTGTTGGTTTTGCATTGTTGTTGTTTGCCATTGAGTCAGACCCAACTCATAGCGACCCCTCCTTGGGTTTCCAAGGCAGTATCACTATGGAAGTAAGATTGTCCCATCTTCCTTCCGAGGAGTGTCTGGTGGGTTTGAACCGCCATCCTTCTGGTTAGCAGTCAAATGCTTTAGGCACTATGGCATAGATGCCCTTTATTATGTTGAGGAATGTCCCTTCTATTCCTGTTTTGCTGAGAGTTTTGATCAGGAATGGGTGTTGGATTTATCAAATGCCTTTTCTGCATCAATTGATATGATCATGTGGTTCTTCTCCTTTGTTTTATTAATGTGGTGGAGGACGTTGATTGTTTTTCTAATGTTGAACCATCCTTGCATACCTAATATGAACCCCACTTGGTCATAATGAATGATTTTCTTGTTATGTTGTTGGAGTCTATTGGCTAGGATTTTGTTGAAGATTTTTGCATCTATATTCGTGAGAAGATGAATATAGAAGACAGAAATTAAGACTAGGCAAAGGTAAAGCACATTTAGCGGAATCTGGGACTTGGACAGCTCCACACGGAACGCTTCTGTGACTTTAGGGATGCATTACCTTGTAGGCATCAGTGTTTGACTATTGAGTATTGACAACCCAGGAATACCATCTGAACTCCAAGGTACAGAGTGTATGTTGGGGTTTCATTATGTAGCATGATTGATTGAGTCATTGCTCATGTGGCTAATATGCCAGGACATTAGACGACGTGTAGCACTGGGAAGGTCAACCACAAAGGAACTGTTTCAAGTTCTGAGGAGCAAGGATGTCTTCTTGAGGACTAAGGTGCACCTGACACAAGCCATGATATTTTCAATTGCTTTGTATGCATGTGAGACCTGGACAATGAATAAGGAAGACTGAAGAAGAGTTGATGCTTTTGAGTTGTGGTGCTGGCAAAGAATGCTGAAAGTACCGTGGACTGCTGAAAGAACTAACAGATCTGCCCTGGAAGAAGCACACCCAAAATGCTCCTTGCAAGAGAGAATGGCCAGACTTCATCTCACCTACTTTGGTCATATTGTCAGAAGGGACCATTCCTTGGAGAAGGATGTCATGCTTGGTAGGGTGGAGGGTCGACGAAAGAGGGGAGGGCCTTCAACGAGACGGATTGACACAGTGGCTGTGATGATGGGCTCAAATATAGCAGGGATCATGGAGCTGGCGCGGGACCAGGCAGTGTTTCATTCTGCTGTGCATGGGGTCGCTATGAGTTGGAAACAACTCGATGGCACCTAACAACAACACCAACAACATTCATGAGGAATATTGGTCTGTAGTTTTCATTTTGAGTGATGTCTTTGCCTTTTGGAATCAAGGTTATGCTTGCTTCATAACATGAGTTAGGGAGGATTCCATCCTGTTCTGTGTTTTGGAATAGCTTGAGTAGGGTTGGTGTCAGTTCTTCTCTGAATGTTTGGTAGAATTCTGTGGTGAAACCATCTGGGCCAGGACTTTTTTTTTTTTGACCTGTTCATTTTCTTCTTTTGTTTTGGATCTGTTCAACTTTTCCACATCACCTTGTGTTAGTTTATATAAGTGGTATGTTTCTAGAAATCTTTCCATTCCACATTTTCAAATTTGTTGAAGTACAGTTCTTCATAGTATCCTGATATTATCCTTTTATTTCAGTTGGTTCTGTTGTGATGTCACCCATTTTGTTTCTTACTCGTGTTATTTATATTCTCTCCCTCTTTTCCTTTGTTAAATTTGCCAGTGGTTTGTCAGTGTTAGTGATCTTTTCAAAAAACCAATGTCTGGTCTTGTTGATTTTTTCTGTTGTCATTCAATTTTCTGTTTCATTGATTTCTGCTCGAGTCTTTATTATTTCCTTTCTTCTGGTGACTGTAGGCTTTCCTTGCTGTTCTTTTTCTAATTGTTGGAGATGTTGATTTAAAGTGTTGATTTTGGCTCTTTCTTCTTTTTGGATATGTGCATTTATTTATTGCTATAAATTGGCCTTTGATCACTGCTTTTGCTGTGCCCCAAAGATTTTGGTATGTTGTGTTTTCATTCTCATTTGATTCAAGGAAGTTTTGAATTTCAGTTTTTATTTCTTCTCTCACCCAGTCTTTCTTCAGGAGGGTGTTGTTCAGTTTCCATGTGATTACTCTGTTTCCATTGATCTTCCTGTTGTTGATTTCTAATTTGATAGCATTACGATCTGAGAAGATGCTTTGCAGTATTTCAATGTTTTTAAATTTATGAAGGCTTGCTTTATGGCCTAATATACGGTCTATCATGGACAATGTTCCATGTGCACTGGAAGAGAATGTATACTGTGCTGTTGTTGAGTGGTGCTCTGTAGATGTCTATAAGGTCAAGTTGGTGGGTTGTATTGTTTAGCTCTTCTGCATCTTTGTTGACTTTCTTTCCAGTTCTCTTTCATTGAAAGTGGTGTATTGAAGTCTCCCGCTATGACTGTGGAGTCATCTATTTGCCTTTTCAACTCTTTTAAGTCTGACTTATGTATTTTGGGGCTCTTTCATTGGGTCCATAGATATTATTATCATTATATCTTCTTGTTGAATTGATCCTTTATAATCATTATATAATCCTTCCTTGTCTCGTGTGGTGGTTTTTGTCTTAAAGTCAATTTGATCAGAAATTAGTATTTCCAGTCCTGATCTTTTACGATTGTCATTTGCTTGATGTATCTTTTTCCAACCTTTGATTTTTAGTCTGTTTTTATCTTTGTCTCTAAGGTGTGTCTCTTGTGGACAGCATATTGATGGATTTTATTATCCAATCTGCAACTCTCCATCTCTTGAGTTGTGCATTTAGTCCATTAACATTCAGTGTAATTATTGACGAGTATGAGTTGATTTCTATCATTTTGTCCATAACCACTTCTTGATAGCAGGCCACAGTAAATGGTTTAGTAATTTAACTACTAGCTCCTAGTATGATTTCATGAGGCTTTTTGGGATTTCAGTATGATAGGGAATTTCACCTACCAGTGGGCTTGAAGCTACCTTATCTCAGCTGAGTAATATAGAAAAGATTATTATTATTTACTGCTAATAAAAGAACTTTTTTTTATTATTATTATTAATGGGAGATAATGTTTGACTAAAGGACCTAGCTCAAGAGAAAGTCATTTTTCTACTACATTTTAAACTTAAATTGTTATAATCAATTTAAATTAATAAAATTAGCATTATAAGATAAATGTGACTTTGGAGTAGGAGAGGAGATGTGCTTAAGAACGATTGCTTTGATGAGGAATAAACTGCTGTATAGGAAGAGACTAAAGACAGGGAGACCCGGCTATATTTAACCATCAGGTGAAGAAAAGGAAGACAGGCTTTTTTCCGGGACATTCAGGAGTTGATAATCAGTGGGATACGAGGAATAAAAGAATAGGTGATGACTTCAGAGTTCCTCACTGTTCCTTTAGACATGGTAAAGAGTATCTTAGATAGTGGAGGGAGCACTGAATTTGAAGTCATATATCCTGGGTTCTAATCACTGTCACTAACTAGCTACATGACCTTGAGCAAGTCTGTTACCTTGATTTTGCTTTCCACATCTATGAAAAAAATAAGATACTAATGATTTGACCTGTTTGTGTCACATGAGAGAAAAGCTAAATGAATGAATGATATTTAAATAAAAAGGACCTCTGGTGGCGTAGTGCCTAAGGCATTTGACTGCTAACCAGAAGGCTGGTGGTTCATACCCACCAGCCACTCCTCGGAAGGAAGCTTGGGCAATCTACTTCTGTAAAGATACCGCCTCAGAATCCTGAGGAAGGGGGTTGCTGAGTTGAATCTGACTTGAGGGCAGTGAGTTTGGTTTTTGTTTTGTGTGATACTAAAGGAGTCCCTGGGTGAGGTAAACAGTTAAACACTCAACTACTAAAATTTTGGTGGTTTGTACCCACCTTCAGGTGCCTCAGAAGATAGGTGACCTGCTTCCCAAAGGTCACAACCTTGAAAGCCTTTTGGAGTAGTTTTACTGTACACTTGGGGTTATCATGAGTGGGAATTGACTTGTTAACACTAACAATAGCATGCAGCAGTAAGGTATTTTAGGTACTGAGGGAAACCGGAATTGCTTGAAACCAATTTCCGTATTTGTCTTCTCCCAGTGTCATGTTAGGCAAGTAACAGTGAGTGCTGCTTATTTGCTATTCACTGTGCTGAGCTTTGTAGTTTTACTTGTGATTCTGTCTAACAAAGATCTTAAGTGATCAGCTGAAGTTCAGGTTTTTTGAGTTACAGGGCCCAAGTACAGGGCATCAGATTTATTCTTTGTTCATGTCCTTTGCCCATTAATTCCCACTCTCCCCTTACCCCAACACCTTGCATACATTAGTAATTAGTAGTTAACTCTTCCTAGTAATTGTAAAACTTGAAGTGCTTCCCTTAACCTTTAAATTCTTCCTGAAATAATGTATAAATTAAACATGCTGTTAGTTTCAGCCCTGTACCCCTACATCTGTTTAATAAAGCTGAGCACATTTACTCATCTATTCCTCACATCAAAGAATCATAGAAATACTACACAAAGAGTGGTCAGGTTGAATTAACCAAGGAGGGAGAATCTTCTTAGATGAGTTTTAAGTTTGTCTTTGAAGGTAGAGGACTATCTGATGATACTAGCTTCATAAAGTCTATAAATCTATTTTGAATAACTTTTTTTTTTCTTTGGGAAAAAAATGATTTTAGTTGATGAAGAATCTGAATTAAATGATTCGGAACCAGAGCAAAAACGCAAGAAGACTGAGGACTCTTCTTTAAGCAAATCTGAGGAAACTGATGCGGGTAAAATATAAATGAACATTTTCCCTCTTATCCCTGTGAAATAAAATTCAACACCATAATTAAGTGTTCAGTTGTTTACATGAATACTTGAGTAACCTTGCTTAGATGATTTTTTATTTTAAAGTGGAAATTAGCCAGTTTTATTCATTGGCATTTCCAAAGACAAGTTGTACTGCACTGTTTTTACCTGGCAAGGCAGTTTTTATTTCTTTCTTGAAGCCTGGTTTATATCTCTTATTTTATTTCTTTGCTGCTCTGGTGAGAAATTGGTGAAAAGTTCTGCTTAGACAGAAAGTCCAATTAAGCAGAACATGCTGAAAAGCTTAATTGGCAAACTGTTCATGACCTGCTAAGGAGAGCAGGAGACCTTACTTAGCTAGCTTATTTCTCAAGCAGCCAATTGCCCATCATTCCTCACCATTCTCTGTAGCTTCTGAGATACTACAAATTTATTTTTAAAAAAATACAGACCTGTGTTTTGTTATTAAAGGTTTAATTGCTCTTGGTTCCTAAATATATATGCTTATATATAAGTATATACCATGCTTACTATGTTTGTCTTATTTATGTTTAATTGATCAGCACAGCTCTAGATAAATCATTGTTAATTGTCCTCCTTTCTCTTCCCTGCCTTTTTCTGTCTTCTAGATTTAGACTTTCTTGTACCCAAGGCTGGATTCTTCTGTCCAATTTGTTCCCTCTTCTATTCAGGTGAAAAAGCAATGATAAATCACTGCAAGAGTACACGTCATAAGCAAAATACAGAGGTAGGTAGTTTTTTTTACTAACTCTTCCTCATAAAATCCTCAGGTGCTGTTGTCTTAAATTGAACTACTTAAATGTCTACCCGAAGTGTACATTCTTTCCCTTTGGGAGAACTTTTGAATATTTCTGTGGAAGTTTGTTCCACTTAAGTCCAAAATCTTGTTTATTTCCTTGCCAGTAACTTCTAGTCCTTGTTTCTTTTCCTTGAATAATAGCACTTGCCAGGGTAGTAGATACTCCAGTTCACTAGTCCCATGTGGCACTGAGGAAAACTGTATATTCTGCTACCCTCTTTCAGAGTCATGGACACAATTAGCATATTAAAGTTTTGAACTGTCCCATAGAAAGAATCCTGCTTAATTTTGCTTAATTCATTTCGTGATCTGACTTGGCTACAGAAACCTTTTTTTCAGTTGCACCTTTCTTTGGGAAATGCATCTCCAAAGAATCATCATTAACCCCAGTTGGTGCACTGGTTCTGATTTCCTCCCAAATGTTTGGGAGTTGTTTTGCATACCCTCTCTATTCAAATTGTTGCACAGGCAGGCATCTAACATTTATTGAGCAAGAAGGTGCTGTGAACTTACTTAATCCCTTGTCAACTTTATGAGGTAGTTACAGAGGTTAAGTAACTAAACTCAACATCACATAGGTTGGTGGTGGTAGAAGTAGGATTTGAACCTGGCTTTTTTTTATTCTAGGCCTAGGTCCTTAAACGTTACGCTCTGCTACCAGTGCTCTCAATTTAGTTTATCATGTCATTTCTCCATTTAAAATTTTCCAGTGGCTTCATACTGAGCTTAGAATAATATCCAGACTTATCATGGGTCTGTAAAGCCCTACACAATCTGATTCCTGTTGTCTGATCTCACTTTATTATTTTTGCTCACTATATTCTAGCCTTTTTGGCTCTCTTGCTTCCGTTTTTTTTCATACGTGAAAGGCCCCTTGCTGCGTCTGTACATTTGTATTAATGCTCCTTAGCCTCCTCCCAATCCCATTTGACCGTAGCTGGTTCTTCCTTAGGTTTCAACTCAAATATCAACTCACAGAAAAGCCATTGCCTCAGAAAGGCCTAAGTAAAGTAGCACACTGTCCCACCCAGCCCCTTAAAAGCATCAGACTCATTTATTTACCATGTTGTATTTCCTTTATGGTGCTTTCTACCACCCAAATTTATCTTATTTACATACTCCTTTATTTTTCTTTCCCCACTTAGAATGTACACCTTATCTATCTTAGTGACTACAGAATCCCCAACCATACATCATCCTACTATATCATAAATACTGCATAACTGATAAATGAAATAATGGGCTCTGGTGCCACAGTGGTTAAAGCATTTGGCTGCTAACCAAAAGGTCAGCAGTTCTAACCCACCAGCTGCTCCATAGGAGAAAGATGTGGCAGTCTGTTTCCATAAAGATTGCTTGCCTTGGGAATCCTCTGGGGCAGTTTTACCCTGTCCAATAGGGTCACTGTGAGTCAGAAGCAACGTGATGTCAGTGGGTGGATGAATGAATGGAAGGGATGTTAATATTAGACACAGTGTTTCTAGTCTTTATTTTGTAGGATCATGCTCTTTTAAATTGTAACTATAATGAAATAAATGTTTGTACATAAAACAACATCTAATAACGTATTTTATATTGCAAATTGCTTTTAACAGAAGTTCATGGCCAAGCAAAGAAAAGAAAAGGAGCAGAATGAGGCTGAAGAAAGAAGCTCTAGGTGATTAGGGGAAAGAAAAAAATTCATTAGAAATTCATTTAGGGTCCAGTTGATTTGTGTATTTTGTTATCACTTAATTTGTAACTTTTTTGTTTCAGCAGCAAATATTCATGTTGTACAAATTTCTGATTGCCCTTTGATGTAGAGAGTGATGGGGAAAGTATGATGGGTTTGATTTTTATATCAAATCATCAGGCATGGATAAATATCTTTTAGAAGTGTTAAAATAAATGTTCCTGCTGTATATTTAAAATACTGTCTTGTGTTTGTGGTTGATTTATTAAAGACTTGCTTGCCTATGATTGTAGACAAGGTTCTTTTCTACAACCCCTGTGGCTTGGGATGTTTGGAATTCTTCATATGTTTCTGGAATTCATAGCATGACAGTGTTTCACTGTGTTTCAGCCATCCATGTAAAGGTCACAAGTTTCTTAAACTTCTCATTTTCTGAATAAAATAAGATTTTGTCATGTTTGGCCCAGGTAGGTTTGAGTAAAACTTTGCTTGGTTTTTTAGTGTGTTGGGAGATACTTTTTTCTTCTTTTGATAACACATGCTGTTTCTACCAAGACCCAGTTAAGTAGCACCTAGAAAGTCATTTAGTATTGAAACTACAAATCAGCTTTACTTCTCATGGACCCCAGGCTTTCATTTTTAGCTATTTGATTTATTTAATATATTCCTAAGAAGTTGTAAAGATAGAAGAAACTGATTCAGTAGATCATTAGTAGGTACTTACAACTTTATACTATAAACTTTTAGTTTAGGCCATGCTTTAAACTTTACATTTATTTTATTATTTGATTCCTCAGTTCTTTGCTGATTACAGCACACTAATTAGTAAGAAAGCAGGTGAATGCAGAAAAATAAAGAATTGCAGTCTTAGATCTTACTCCCATCATAGCACAAAAGTTATCTCATAGTTGTCATGAAGTACAAAAGGCAGCAGATTTTTCTTGCTCACCAATCTAACTGCACTTCAAATTTAGCAGCTTGAGCAACATTACATACAAAATACTACATGTCACAGTTTAGGGAAGTGTGGGGATAGGGATGGGATTGGGGGGGTGGCTTATGAGATCCAGACTCTGCTATAATTAAAACCATGTAGATTAATGAGGTAAAATAGAGGGATGAGAGCTATTAAAAAGCTGGAGAATAAGGTTCCCCAAGTTAAGGCAGCACAATTAATCAGAAGAATTAAAAACTGAAAGTCTTCTGTTTCTGAAGCTTTTAAACACAGAGAAAAATTTCAACCTTTAGTTTTGTCTGGATCAACCTTCGAGTTTATATCACAAACTTAAAACATGGAATTCTTACTTCTTCAAATCAATTACTGGGAAAAGGATATTTTTTTCTTTCTAAAATGCAGTTCTCAATTAGAATAATACAAGCATGAGAGTGATAAGGGGTACTTTCATGTTTCATCCTTGTGACAGATGTTGATAATTACACATAGCAAATAATGTTCCTCTTGGCGGTTTTTACATTTAAGACTGAGAATTTTTAACAAAGTGCTCCAAATACAAAAGATTTTGTGAGGTTCTCTAAAAATAAGTATATGCATTTTGCGTGTAATTTTAGAATTGTTTCTTTTTCAAAAAAAAAAAAAAAAACTCCACTTATCTACCCTACACATATGAATGTCAATACATAGTAACTTTTGTTTTTTAGTTGGTTGAGGTATATAATTTGGATTATAGCTTAGATTTAAGTTTCTACCATTCCATCATCTAGACCCCAAAGCAAGAAGATCTTGCATTCAACGCTGAAAATTTTGTTGTGTCACGCACTTGGAGGATTTACTTCTCACAACACAGTACTCTAATAAAACTTTTTAGATTTGATTACCTTTTCTGAGAGAATGCTATGGAAACTTTCTTCTCTGGGAGTCCTTTTGAATTCTTAAAAAAAAATAAAATAAGGTTTTGAAAGGTTTAATTTTGTTATTTGTGGGGGAAATCAAGCATATTTTTAGAAAGTATACAGAATAGAATCATTAAGCCTCATACAGTATTTACCTAGTTTCAATAATTACCACGGCCAGTCTCTCTCATGCACGCGCATGCGCTGTGTGTTGTGTGTGTGTGTGTGTGTGTGAAGGGAGAAATGCGTGTACACACACACATCTTCACTTCTGCATCTTAGTATGTAATGTCAGGGTAAACCTCAGATACTGTCATTTTTCTCATAAATGTTTTATTATGTATTTCTAGGAGATAAGGATTCCTTTTAGCCTAAGCAAGTATCACTAAAAATATTATTTAAATCAAAATCTAGTTCAAATTAAGAATATGGCATATTTGACACCACCACCAATAACCAAGAACTGAGTGTGTGGACATATATGTAGATATATAGGCACATATGGTATGGGTAGGTGTGTACCTGTGTGTGCACAGAAATATCTGTAGAGATGTGTGTGCACACGTATTCATAAAGGACATAGTTACAGATACTTCTCAGACATAACAAAGCACCTTGTGAGATTGGTTTTCTGGGTTTTAAGGACCTTAGTCTCATGGGACAACTCAGTCAGTTGGTGTAATATAATTCACAAAGTTCATGTTCTGTATCCCAGTGAGGCGGGTAGCATCTGGGGTCTTAAAAGTTTGCAAGCCGCTGTCTTAGAAAAAATTACTGGTTTCTACTCATCAGAGCAAAAAAAAAAGAAACCAGAGTCCCAGAGAAGAATCCAGTCTACGGGGCTAATAGCCTACACCAGCCACAGCCTTATCTACACTAAGACCAGAAGAGCTAGACTGTGACCATCTAATCAGGGCCACAATAGTTGAACCGCAATAGAATGAGAGGGCAATGTGGAACAGAACTCAAATTCTTTAAAAGCCCAAACATGACCAGTTGAGACTTGAGGACTCCCTGAGACTATGGCCCTCAAATACTCTTTAAACCTTAAACTATTCTGAGGCCACCTTTCTGCCACATAACATTCTGGCATGTAAAGCTTACTATGCATGAGTAAATGGCTCTATTAAAAAAAATTTTTATGAGACTGAAAGGTCAATAATTACTATAAAGCGAAGATGAAAATAAGGGAACAGTGAAACTAGAATACTGGAAATGGAATAACCAGAAGGCAATTAAAGACAATGTTGACACATTGTGAAAAATGTAACTAATGTCACTGAACAATTTGTGTAGAAATTGTCAAATGGGAGCCTAATTTGCTGTGTAAACATAAACGTTCAATGAAAACACAATAAAACATTTTAAAAAACCAAAATTTTCAGCTGTCTCATAAGTGGTTTTTGTTTTGTTTTACATTCTTTGAATCAGAATCTAAAGATTTGTATGTTAAAACTGGATAGATACTTTCTAAAAATTATTTTTAATTATAGGTTCTTTTCACTCTTCTCCTCAAATTTATTTCATGAAGAATCCAGATCGTTTGTTCTTACAAAGCAGTGCTGCTCAAAATGTAGTCTTTGGACCCAGTGCCAGTTCTCACACACAGTTTGTAAGGATTTATATACAGAAATCATGTTTAGAAACCACCACAGTTTGACAAAGTTATGTTGTATTTTGAATCGAATATTTTCAATGGGAGTTTTTGTGTGCTTGGTGTATATATTCATTTCACTTAAATATATTTTTTAAAAAGTATTACACTAGTGGATTGTAAATTAGAAAAAATGGATAATAAGAACATGATCTATCACAGTTTGAGCAGCACTGCTATAAGGTTTCTTACAGTCCAGATTTCATGTTGCATTACAGTTTTGTTATAACTTTCTTCGTTGAAAATAACACACATCAGAACAGATACCAGCAATTTCTGCATGTACAATTCAGTGACATTGATTACATTCTTGAAGTTGTACAACCATTTTCTTCATTCAAGTTGTTCCTCCCCCATTAACAAAACTCCTTGCTCTCTGAGTTTCCTATCTAATCTTTCCAGTTTCTGTTGTCATTTTGGTCCCATATAAATAGACCTTAAAAGAGCACAATGCTCAAGGCAGACTTTTTTTTTTTTTTGTGATTTGAGTGAAAATTTACAGAGCAAATTCACTTTCCATACAGCAGTTCACGTACACTGTCTCATGTCATTGACCACAATTCACCACAGTGCAACAGCTCCCCTCCCACTTCCTCCTGATAGTCACCTCCTCCCTGTGTCCATCAGTCCATGCACCCTTGCCCCCTGAGCTGTCTCCCTGTGCATAAACAGCCCTTCTTTTTCCCATGATTGTTATCTCCAAGAAGTGTATTTACCTCAGGTAAATGTTCAATTCCTATCTATGCCTGTCTTTTGCTTGGCTGGAAGCCACAGGTGTGGGTTCAGTTCTAGACCTGAAGGGCAGCTAGGGACCATACTCTCAAGTGGTTGCACCAGACGCTATCAAACCAGCAAACCTGGTCCCCTTTTTTTCTTCCAAATGATTTTGGGTTTTGTTTCACATTATTCTCCCTCTCTATCAGGGATCTCCTACATAGATCCCCCTCTGAATGGTTGACAGTGCTAGCAGGCCACCATCTAGTGCTTCTGCTCTCATAGTCGTATAGGCTGCAGATCACATGGTGTACCAGTCAGTAGGACTAATTCTTTCCTTTGGTTTTCTTCATTCTTCTTTGGGCTGGATGAAGAGAGATCCATCATTGCATCTAGATGGCTGGTTGCAGGCTTTTAAGATTCCAGTTGCTACTCGCCAAAGTAGGAGGTGGAACAATGTTTCCTGTAGTATGTTATGCCAATTGAACTTAATGTCCTCTGTGACTATAGTTTCAAGCCCACAAGTTCAACTACTAGGTCCCTCTGGGTAGTTGGCTGTGACCAAGAAGTGA